TATACTCAAGGGTATTATAAAATGAAGTAAAAAAATAAGAAACAAAATCCCTCAGATGATGGAAACTCCTGTCCTTCAACTTCAATTAAAAAGGAGCAAATTAAAATTGTAAAACAACATTACAAATCAATGACAATACTCTCCAACAAGCATTTGAAGGCATTAAAAACACTTGAAACAGAAATTCAAAAATTAAAAGGAAATTGATCAAATAATGGATCAGGAATGAATAAAAAGAAAATTGATTGAACTCAGGAAATAATAAGTAAAGACAAAACCATCTAAGAAATGAAGACTAAAATAAAGGTAGCCAAGGTAAAATAAATTAAATGAAATTTAATGAGGGCATTGAACAAAGGGAAGCAATCAACAAAATGAAAATAAGATAAAGAAAATGTATCCAGTGAAACAGGCAAAAAGAAATGTCATTTCCTTTACAAATATATTAAATTTGATTCCCTAAAATAAAAATAAAACAGTAACATAGAATTAATATTTAAAGCTTAAGTCCAGAAAAACTTTTGTAAATAAAGAACTGAAAGTATCTATCAGGTGCCTGGAAAAATAAGCTCATCATAATCAGTTCTAACAGGTATCTCAGTAAAACCACTGGAGTTTAAAGACAAATACAAAATCTTCAGATCTTTAAAGCAAAATGGTTAACACATTATAAGGGCAAAAGAATTAGTCCAACATTAGCTTTCTGAAAAGATCAGACAGTGCAGTTGCATTTTCAAAACACTCAAGAAAGAAAATGCATACCAAGAAACTTATATCTAGTTAAGCTGTCCTTCAAATATCAATGCTATTGAAAAATAGTCTTAAACATGTGAGATCCAAGGACTGTTGTACTCACAGTCCCCTTTTAGAGTTGATAAGAGGATAATCTTCACTCAAACAAAAGATAAATGGGAAAATTGGACAAAGGATAAGCAGTGAGCATTTAATGTATTTAATTACAGATCTAAGAACAAAATATTAGTGAGAATATGGGTGCCAGAATAATATATGAATATTGTATGTTCTGAAAAAGCGAAAAATGATAATACAACCAGAAAAGCTAAAAGGGAACATCTGTTTCTAATAAGTTAACTTCTGCCATGCTTGCAATCCCACCATGAACTTTTAGAAGACTGAACAAAACAGACGACACAACAGTTTTTAAATATTGAACAAGGAAGGCATGACTGTAATCTCTGGAAGAAGAGACTAGAATTAAAGAAAATTTATGATTACTCTTTAGACTCTGGCTCATGGAGGAGGATCCCAAACAGATCACAGTGGTGTCACTAAATTGTGCAAAGTCAGAAAAGAGTTCAGTAGGCTGAAGCGCCTGGTTTACAGGGAAGAGCTCTGGAGACGAAAATTATAAGCAAATAAATAGCTCCAGATACCATCACAGATTCCATTAAATTGGTTGCTGAATGCTAAAGCACACATACAGAACAGTGAAATAACATGAGTTCAGGAAAAGAAGAACTAATGGGGAGGTATAAGCCATACCAATTCCAAAGCTCACAAAAGTTTGAGGGACATTTGAGTCCAAAGCAACTAGAGTGAAAGATCTTCACTGAATATACAGAGCATTTAGAGATCTGTGAATTGCTAGCTAGCAGTAGGGCTAGTCCTAGGACAGGGATTCTCAAGTGCAGAACTATTGACACATTCGGCGGAATAATTCTTTGCTGTAGGGGTATGTCCTGTGCACTGTAGAATGTTTAGAAACTTCTGTGGTTTCTACCCAATTAATTCAGTAGCAGCGCTCCCCTCACTGCAAGTTTTGACCACCCAATCTTTATCTAGACATTGCCTAATGACATCTGTCCCTCAGGAGCAAAATTATTAACAGTTTTAAAATAAATCACATCCACTGATATAGGGTAAATGCAACTCTAGAGGTACACTCATAAAGCTTAAAAACTTGCTTCAGAGGGGTCAGGGTAATCTGCAAGTGTCTGCCTGCTAGAATATATCCAACACAATTTAATAGGAGACCCCCAAATCCAGTACTCAATGGCATAAAGTTCTAAATGACCAGCATACAGCCCAAAATAACAAAAAGAAAAAAAAAAAAGGAAAAAGGCAGGATAATCTTTCCCATAACCAGGAAAAATACAAAAGCCATTCATTCAATAGACACAGTTTGGGAAATGATAGAGACAAAATTAACAGATAAGCTATTATAATTACTCAGAATTTAGAGAAAAGGAAGAATACAATGAAGATAAAAGTTATTTTTAAAAAATAACTTCTGGAAATTGAATATACAATTTTTAAAATAAAAATGTTACTTTGTGGGATGAATAATATATTATAGAATGCAGATGAAAATACAAGTGAACTTGAAGACACAGCAATAAAATGATTCAAAATGAAGCATAAAAAGAAAAAGACTGAAAAAATAATTAATATAGCTTCAATGACTTATGGGAAATATCAAGCAGTTTGGCCAAGAGGCCTGCAGGGACATTAAAATGACACTAGCCCCTTCATGCATGTGGAAGCCACATGGTTTCTGTCACAACTACTCAACTCTGGCATTATAGCATGAAAGCAGTCACAGACACTACGTAAATAAATGAGCATGCTATGTTCAATTCATACTTTATTTATGATTATAGAGATGGAGAAGAGAAGATTATCATTTACCAGGAGACAGGATCAAGGAAGGGTGCAAATATAAATGGGTATATATTCATCAGGGTTCTGCAGAGAAACAAAACCAACAAGATGTGTTTGTCTCTGTGTGTGTACGTGTGTATATATATATATATAAAGAGAGAGAGAGTGAAAGTGAGAGACAGAGAGGGGTTAGTGAAGAGAGACAGAGATTTTAAGGAACTGGCTCATGTGATTGTTGGAGCTGGTAAGTCTAAAATCTGCAGGGAAGGCTGGCAGGCTGGAAATTCCAGGAAGAGTCGATGTTGCAGTCTTGAGTGTGAAGGCAGCCTGGAGGCAGAATTCCTTCCATTTCTGACTACCTCAGTCTTTTCTCTTAAGGTTGTCAACTGACTGTATGAGGTCCACCCACAGTATGGAGGTAATCTGTTTTACTCAAAGTCTACTGGTTTAAATGCCAATCACATCTAAAACAACTTTCACAGCAACATCCAGACTGCTTGGCCAAATAATGGTGTACCATAGCCTAGCAAAACTGACACATAAATTTAACCATCAGTAGTAAAAGGGGAATTTCCTGGTAGTGATGGAACAGGTAAATATTTTGATTATGGTAGTGGTTACAAGAATCTACATATAGGGAAAAAACTGCATAGAACTACACACACACTCGAGTACAAGCAAAAATGGTGAAACTCAATATATTCTAGAGCATAGTTAATAGTACTGAATCAATGTAAATTTTGTGGTTTTGATATTGTACCATTCTAACATAAGGTATCACAACTGGTGGAAATGGAGTGAAGGGTGCATTGATACTCTATATACTATTTTTACAATTTTCTATGAGTCTGTAATTATCACCAAATTAAAAGGTTTTTTTTTTAAAAAAACTGTATGGACACTCAAGTTTTATTATTCTTTTAATTATTTCAACAGTTTAAAAATGTAAACATCATTCCTAGTTCATGAACCACATAAATATAGGGGGCAGGCCAGATCTGGCCCAGGGTCATTTTTTTTGCTGACTGCTAAATTAAATAGTATTTCTCCATGTCAATAATTATATTCTGGTTATGGTTAAAAAAGAAAGTCTTTGAATGATTTTAGGAAAGACAGAGTGAAATATTTAAGGGTAAAGAGACATAATCTATGTACCTTTCTCTCAAACATTTCTCTATATACATATTTATGCATTCACACATACATATAAAGGAATGTGGCAAGATGTCAATATCTGAAGATCTTGGGTGAAAGCTTAAAGGGATTTCTTTCTGTGATTCTTGTAACTTTTCTATGGGTCTGAAATTATTTCAAAATAAAAATTACTTACACACACATATGTCTAGTATTTGCTAGGCAGGTGATATGATTTTTTAATTTCTCTTATTAAATTATCACCCGCCTGCAAAAATATCATACTACCTGATGTCAATGTCACTATAAATGTTTCCCGAAAACTTTGCAGCTCTTGTCTGCGTCTAGATGTATGTAAATACATATATAGACTTTTCATTTTGGAAATGTTCAAATAATCATAGAAAGAAAGATATTTAATGAAACCTCATGTACGAGTCACACAGTTTAAACAATTGCCAGCTCACTGGTTCATCAATATCAATATCCATTCATTCCCATTCTCTATATTTTTAAGCAAATACTTTCATTTCTTGATGTTTCCTTTATATAGATATGTGGGGAGAAGGGAAAAGGAGTGGCAGTTGATTCTAAGAGGAAGACAAAGGAGAGATGCTTGTCTCTAACAAATGGTAGCTTAAAAAAATAAAAAGTGCTAGCTAATGCCATTTACCTTCAATTGGAGTCACCACTTCAATTGTAAAATTCTGAGTCAAGAGGAAAAGTCAAGCTCAACATCCTCCACAAAGGGAATTACTATGAATTTGGCACTATGTCAGGCACTTTGTACAACTTACTGAATCTTTATAATAACACTCAGAGCTCTGTTCAATTACTCCCTTTTTTCAAATAAGGAAATTACATTTCAGAAAGAATGAATAACTTTCCTGATATTAAGCAATTTGTGGGAGCAGAATTTATACTCTTGCCTTACTGTTTCCAAAAGAGTATGTGTGATATTTTCCACTGTATTGCCACACAGTACACCAAAAACACTCATTTCAGATATCACTGGGGGTAAGATTCTAAAGGAATTAATTGTCTTTGTGAAATATGGATCAGAATCTATTAGAATCTGAGTTTATAGCCAACTACTGTTCTCAGTGATTCTAGCTAAGCTGAGCTAGTGAAGACAAAGAATAAAAATACCTCTCTATAATCTTGCTTTCCCCAAAGAAGTCCTCAGTGATTGCCCAATGATGCCATGTCTAGTCTTTTAACACTAAACATATTTCCCTTGGGTCTTATTGGTTACCAGCTTTCCAACTCAGCAAATATTTTACAGCAGCCTTTACATCCTTATTTCTCAAGCTATAGATTATAGGATTTAGCATTGGGGTCACCACCCCATAAAACATGGAAACAAGCCCCTCCCTAGCTTGTGAATTGTCTTGTCCAAGGAGGTCTTGAGACTTGGGTTTGGCATACATAAAGAAGATGGTACCATAAAATATGATCACCACTGTCAGATGCGCTGAGCAGGTGGAAAAGGCCTTGCGTCTCCCTGTGGCTGAGTTCATTCTTAAGATGGTGTAGAGGATGAACATGTAGGAGAAAAAAATGACCAACAGTGGAAAAACCAGGAAAGCCATATTTGACACTGCTAGGGTAACAATATTGAGGGATATATCAGCACAGGCTAGCTTGAGGACAGCCAATATCTCAAACAAGAAATGATTGATAATATTATTTCCACAGAAGGGCAACTGCATGGCCAGAGATGTCTGCACAATTGAGTTGATTCCACCAGAGAGCCATGACACACAAGCCATCAGTACATATGCCACTTTGCTCATGATGATGGGGTATCTCAGAGGATTACAGATAGCCACATATCGGTCAAAAGCCATCATGCCAAGGAGGAAACATTCTGTCGACCCCATTGCAAATCCAAAGAACATCTGCACTGCACATCCAGAGAAGGAAATGTTCCTCTTCTTTGAGATTAAGCTCACCAAAGTTGAGGGAACAGAGGAAGATGTATAGCAAATATCCAGGAAAGAGAGGTTGCCCAGGAAGAAGTACATGGGGGTGTGAAGACGGGAATCAAAGACGCTCGCTATGATCAGAACACCATTGCCAATTAGAATCAATAGGTACATAACTAGAATTAGAGCAAAGAAGACAATCTCAAGTTTTGGGTAACCAGAGAGTCCCAGAAGAATGAATTCTTTCACAAATGTTTCATTTATTCTATCCATGTTCCAGCTTCTAGGATGTCAAAGGAATACCTAACATAAAATATTTTCACTTCCAAGTAACAACAGATTTAACAAATTTCTTGGCTAGGCATTATTCTAGGGTGAAACAGAAAGAAGTTTTCCTTGAAGCTCTGTCATCCAGTTTTCTTAAACAACGCCTATGCCTAGAGTATAATGATACTGGGAAGTTGAGAGTTTCAATGCCCTGGGTCTAATGTTTGATGATCTAACTAGGATTAGAAGCAACCTTCCCAACTGTTAAAGACACAAAGGCCCTAGAATATTTCAGATGACAAACCTGACTTCTTCATTTAGTTAAGCTCATTGAGAGGGTGGTGGAGAAGGCAAAAGACAACTCAACAGGACTGCAATTTGATGCAGGGTTTAAGAAAAATGTTGAGAAATTTAAGCCAGTTTGATTTTATGGATACTTGTTTGTCTGCCTGACACCTTGGATCTCTTTTCAGTCTGTTAGATTGTATATTTTTATAGGGCAGACATTTGATCACAGTAAACTGAACCACATATACTGCAATTTAACATCTGTTTAAAGGTCAAGTTAGTTATCAGTCTCACAGTCACTGCCTACTCTTACTATTTTGTTATTTCCCATTAAACACCAATATGTAAACTAGCTCTGCAGGTATACAGTGGAGATCTTTAATGAAAAATAGTCTCTCTTCGTTTGCTTTATTCTGTGGCTTCAGAGTTATTCTTCGTAATTTATTTATTTCAGTGAACCTAAGAAAAAAGTGATACTGTTTAAATATATATCTGTGTATCCGTATGTAGCACTTTATACTTTATCAGAAAAAGTAATCTTCTCATTCTCATTTGTTTTTTCAAATGAAAGAGACAGAATGTAGCCAAAGTAATCTAACCTGTAAGTAAAAAGTGGACCTTGAAGCTCAGATCTTTGCCAATGAAGTCTAGAGCACTTTGGGCTACAACACTGAAAGTTATTAAACCATGTTTTCCCACCAAGATCCAGAATTTTTGGCCTTGGCAGAATAATGAAGAATCAGCTATTTCAGTCTTCCAAATTTTTCATATGCATATAAATTCCTAGGGATCTTGTTAAAATGCTGATTCTCTTTCATTAAGTCTGAGATAGGGCCTGTGATTCTGCATTTCTAATAAACTCCCAGGTATGCCAGAGCAGCTGGGATGGGGCCACATTTTGAGAAGTAAGGCTTTAGTTTACCTGTAGTAAGTTGGCAAAATACCCAGATGTTTCTTTTGTTTCACTGTATGGACTAGCTTAACAATTTACAAAATGACCAACAGCATACATCTTTTTGTGTTTTTCAGCAAACTCTAGGGCCACACCTCACTGTTCAGTACAATTCAGAAAATAATACTATTGAAAGACAAGTTATCAAAAAGAAGGAAAAAGTTTTGCTGGAACACTGTAATATATGCAGGATATTACTGATAGCCTAACTTGAGCCCAATCCTGTTCCAAAGATACAACATAACATGTCTGTCATAAAAAAGATCACAATTCAGTGAAGGAAAGAGTACAATTATATGTGAAACAACTTGATATAAAATATAATTACATTGTGTGACCATTATGACAGTGAATATTATATTCTCAGGAGGAGGTTGAGAAATAAACAAGGCAAGAGAGTTCTGGAAGAGTCTCAGACTTAGGCTGGATGTGCAAGCATGGATAAGATGAGGCGGGTTTGGAAGAGAAGAGGGGAAGACAGTGTCCCAGTAGGAAGAACACTTCGAGTGGAGGTTAGGAGTAAGCATATTGGCAGTACCTCCTTTTCAGACCAGAGAGCTTCTGTGGAGGAGTCGGGGCAAGCACACTTGAAAAGGTAAAAGAAGCAGACTATAGAAAGGTCCAAAAGTCAGGCGGAGAAACTGACACTTCTTTTGGTAGGGAAGGGGCTCATTATTGGAAGCATCACATACAAGATGAGGGTTCAGATGCTCTGATCTCAGCTACCCTCCAAACTTGATATCATACAGCCTGATTTTACAAAATTTTTGAGCAGATATGTGACATAAGAGATGAAAATGTTTAGGTTAGTTATTAATTACTGACTGATGCATGCAAAAATCATCTCTTCTTAATTGCCGCCAGTTCTGGGGTTAACCAAAATTGCAAGTTTAGGGCTCACATATGTTAATAGTTTTGAGAACGTCAGCATAAGCTCACCACCCCTCCCTAACACTCAGTTTGTTGTGTAATGATAAAAACAAGGTGGGAAGATTTCTCTACAGTGTATGCTAACGAATACAAAGTAGGAAATTACAATTTGGGTGAGAGGCATGAATGGGAGACTACTGAATCTCTGAAGGAGAGATGAGAAAATTGAGCCTTAAAGCAAATTTTAATATATATTAATTCTGCTAAAGACCAAAGTACCTAAAACTATGTTTTCATTTATTTAAATTAAAAACTCTGTCATCTATTTAAATAATTTCTATTGTAGAATCTTATATACTAGATACTGTGCTTGAAATTAGTTGACTTGATTGAGGTTACATGGGTCTTAATGGGCAGAGAAAACATCCAAAGCCCATTCTCTTTCCACTATTTCCATGCCCAGCAGGTAGCATTAAAATCTGTACAGAAAACATGTGTCAACAACAGAAAATGGTCAGTGAGTACCAAGAATATACTGAGATCATAAAGGCAAAACTTGACTGTACTCACTTAAAAATGTACAAGGAGAACTGTTAAGTCTTGAGGACTTAGCACTTCTTATCATGAAGGAAGGTTCAGGGTTGCGGGATTGAATCATATGCCACAGAAAACTCCATTTTCTCTAAAATGATTCTATACTAACTCTCCACTACTTCTTAGGCTAATTAAGGTTCTCCAGTGGAATACAGAGCAATTGATCAAGAGATGCCTTAGGTAAGGGACAGGAGCACTCTGATCAGAGCAGACATTGAATGCCAAAGGAAGAAGACAGTAAAAGACTGACTCAGCAGGACACCAGGTGATGTGCCAGATCCGTCCATTTGGGGCCCAGGCCTGGAGAGCCTGGTTTCCCATTCTAGGCAAATGTAATAACAAGGTGTCTCAGGCCACTTAAACCCCTTCTTCTGCCCCCTGCTCCAAGCCTTCTCCACCTAGGCAGAAATTCCCTCAGCAATTCAAACCCACCTCAAGCCAGGCCTGTCTTGCTGCCTTTGTTGTTCTTCTCCTAGAAATTTAATTTTTTTCTTTTGGATACCAAAACAATTTTAGTATGCCCAAATTGTTCATTTGCAGCAGGCTCTGAGTTTTAAAAAAAGGTATCTGTTAGTCGGTACTAACAAGGTATCATCTTATAGAGAAAGTCACCAATTTATTCAATGCAAGTACAGCAGGATCAGCTAATACTGACTTGAATGGATATGGGATGGGGTTAGCCAAGTGAAAAAGTGCTTGGGACTAAGAAGGAAAATTTCTAGGTTTGAGGTTCTTTCCTTCTAACATATAGTCTCAGTTTTCTCATTTGTGAAATAGTGATAAAAATACCTGCCTCACTTTTCACACAGATTTGAAAAAAAATTCAGATAGCATATGGAATCTACTTTATGAATTAATGGGCAATATACAGATAATAAAAATAATAAATCATAGCTGTATTTGATAACAATAATAAATGAGTAACTGTATTGCCTCATGCTGTTCACATTTTAAATCCATACTTAAGAATAGCTTTAATTATGGAATGAAAAGGTGTGATTTCATGGTATTAAAAACTTACCATTATACTGATAAATTATTCCCACCTCCTAGGAGAACCTGTTACTTTCTTATTAGTATTTATACAGGCATTTTGAACTAAGTCAGGTTCAACGATGTCAGATTCTACAGATGTGAAAGAGTAAATATTTGTTATGCAATGGTTGTAATTGTTCCCCAGGTCCCAAAGCAATTTAAAGTTGGAATAAGAGATCTGTGGAATGGAGAAACTTCTGGTGTGTTAGGGACAGTGTCTCATAGACACAATTAAGAATGGCGATGGGAACAAACTGCAGCTGAACTAAAGCTCCAAAATGAAATGACATTCTCCTACCCACGTAACTTTTGGAAACAGGGGCAAATGTTCACTACACTAGCTTTATGAAATATGAGAGCTTTTTGTTTAAACTATATTTATCAAAGCAAAATTAATTCAAAGTAAGATCTTAATTGAAATAACAATTACCAAAATTAAATGCTAGAATTGAAAATGATCTAGATATTTTGAATGAAATAAAATAGATATGTTGTGAATTAAATTCATTCTCATTTAAATTTTTTACCTTCTCTTTATTCTTTTAGATAAGCTAGTTTCATGCAAGATATCAATAAATATCAGCTCTTTTTGGAATGAAAAGAAATACAGATAAGAAATAAATAAATTTACAGGATAAAAGTGAATTCGTATGTTCAAGGCAAAAAATGTTTTAAAAGTACAGACTGGATAGTTTGGGACATGAATTCAGATAGGAAGATAGCATATTATTGAATTAAAGTGTTTCAGAAAGTCTACTAAGCTGTATTATAGATATTAACACTTAGATTGACTGTAATTTTCCAAAAGATGTTACATTTCATTGTAAAATATTTGGATTCTAGAAGGGTGTTTTTAGAAGGCAGGCCCATGACCAAGTAGTAGATCGGCGGCTGGTAGACTGTGGTCTCAGCTACTGACCCAGAAATCACTCTGTCTCCCTATGGACTAGGCTACAGCCCTGTTTAGTCTTGATCTTGACATCAGCACCATCTGCCAAGGGACCCAGCAGGAGTCCCACCACTGCAAGCCCAGCTAACAGGGGCTTGCCAATCCCAATCCTGGCTGTGCAGCCTGAAGTGGCCAATGACTTAACTTCCAGCCTCTCCTAGCCAACAGTACTACCTTTCCAGGGCACTGGCAAGAGACATGCCTGTTTGTACCCCACAGCAAGCCTTCCAACTTCCATTTGACTGCAGATCCTGAACTAGCCCTATGATTCTGTTCCAGTCCCTTGCAGCTTCTGACTAGGAACACCCAGCCTAGCCAAGGACCCTCCTAGAAGACACACTCACCTGAGCTTCTGAGCGTAACTGCCAACCTCGGTCTGACTACAGGTCTTGATGCAGCCCTATAACCCA